CCTCCTCCCACCGCGTCCTGATCCCACTCTCCATCCCTGTCCCCCTCCCTTTCCCTCGCCCCCCCCCCCATTCCCTCCCCCTCTTCCTCTCCGCTCCCCCTTTCCCTCCCTCCCACTCCACCTGTAGGATGTTAGGATGTACGGTAAAACGTTTGGATCAACTGGCCCCGAGATCTGCGCGGGCTTCCTCTTCTGTGCCCCTGCTCTTGCTCTACCCTCTTTCCCTTCTCCCACGTACGTGGCTCCAAGCTGTTCTGGGCCAAGCGGGGACCAGCCTCAGGCTGCCCAAAGGTCTGGGCCCGCAAGGGGCCCGGAAGACGCGCGCGGCCGCGCCACGGCGCGGCGCGGAGGGGGTGCGCCCCTGCGTTCTGGCAGCCGGGCGCCGGGCGGCGCCAGGTCGCGCCAGCCGCAGGAGGGCGGCTGCCAAGCAGCGCGGGGCCGGGCGGGCCAGCAGCGCGGTCCCGAGCGGCCCGCGCGCCCCGCGCTCGCGCAGGCCGCGCGGCGCCCCCGCGCGGCGCCCCCGCGGCGCGTGGCCTCTCGGGCACCGCGCGGGCTGCCCGCGGGGGCCCTCCCTTGCGTCGCGGCCTGGAGTCTTCCAGCCATGCGCTGGGTCCCCGGACCTTCTCGAGCCATGAAACCATGACGACGGCAGGCTTATCGCCATTTTCGGCCTCGGGGGGCCCTTGCCGGGCCTCGGGACCGTCAAAAAACGACTCGGGAGGAAAAGCCTGTCCCGGGGAAGAGGTCGGAACCCATGCAAGACGCATCTAGAAATAACAGATGCGTTTAGATGCGATCGCGCCCTGGCGCAGGCGAGAAGCCCATCGTAGTTATTTTTCTGTAACGAACGACGACAATATAGATATTACTTTTAAATGCGCGCCCCCGGCCTGCGCGGGAGCGCCGCCGTATCTAAACACATATTCCTATTCATATATTTTTACAAGGCCGGGGACCCCGGAAAAGCGGCACACGGTGCCCCCCCCCCCCCCCCCCCCTCCCCCCCCCCAAACGAATTTCGGCCTCCCCGAGCCTTTGGGGCGCTCCTGCAGAGTGCTTCGTGTCTGTCCTGCGAGTGCGACGCGAAAAAAAAAAACACGACGGCCAAAAAGGGCCCCGAGACACCCGAAGATCGGCCCAAGACGCCCAATCTGGGCCCAAGACTGCCCAAGACGCGTCCAAAACGCCCCCAGAGACCCCCAAGAGGCCTCGCAAGGTAGCCCCGAGAGGCTACAATTGTTGATTTGCCTGTGTGTTTTCCGATGTTTTTGGCCTTCTCGCTTTTCCCGCTTCCCGACGCTTCACAATGGCCCAAGAGGCTCCCCAGATCGCCCCAGTACTGCCCAAGAGGCCCCCAACACGGTCCAGGAGGGCTCCGAGACCGCCCAAGAGGCGCCCAAGACGGCCCAAGAGAGCACCAAGACGGCCTTAAGAGAGACCCAAGAGGGCGCCCAAAATTTCAAAAACAAAATTTTCCGCCGCGAGAGGGCCCCAAGAGGCCCGGAGAGAGCCCCATGAGGCCCCAAGAGGCTCCCAAGAGGCCCCAAGGAGCCCCCAAGAGGCCCCCAAGAGGCCCCACAAAGATCCCAAGAACCCCAAAACACTCCCAAGACGCTTCAAAACTGCCTCCCAGAGGGCCCCGAGAGGCGCACCACGAGATCCCAACACAGCGGTCTCCCCCTCTCATTATCCCTTCTCTTTGTCGTCGCCTTCTTCGTCGTCGTCGTTGTCGTATCCAATGGCGCAGCGAGGCCATTTTCCGTTCAAACCACCGAAGGGCCCAAGAGCTCCTCCTCCTCCTCTTCCTCATTCTCTTCCTCCTCTACCTCCTCCTCCTTCTCCTAATTCCCCGTGATGTTTCACGTTCCGCCCCGCCAAAGGTCTAGCAGAAGCAGCTTTCCTCACTCTCCCAAGTCTCTGCTGCGGATTTCTTCCGCGATGTCCACATAATCTGTCCTCTTCATCCTCTTCCTCCTCTTCATCTTCCTCCTGCTTCTCATCCTCTTCATGTTCCTCCTCCCGCCTCGATTGAGCTTCTCGCAACACTCGAAACAAACCGTCGGGGCCACGACGCCATCTCATCCGGACGCGCTGTTGGGAACCAGGATTTTTGGGACATTTCGGAGATCAGGCCGTCGGGGACCTTCGGTTTCAGCATACATCCTGGGGAAACACCCCCTGGGGACTCACGGCCGCGCGAACACTTGCAACGTCCTCCTCCTCTTCCTCCTCCTCCTCCGCTTGACTCGCAGAGAGGCCGAGCGGCGCCGCGCCGCGCCGCCAGGGATGGGGAAAAAGAAGCGGAGAGGGGGGAGAGGAAGAAGGGGAGGGACAGGAGGAGGAGGAGGAGGGGGAGGAGGGGGGGGAGGAGGAGAGGAAAAGGGGAAGGAGAAAGAAGCTATAACGGAAAGTAGTCTTATCAATCTCGCCGGAGATATGCTCGCAACTCCGACCTCAGAAGCGCCTTGCTTCGCATCGGCACCGCCGTTTTCGCTTGAGACATCATCGCAGCTCTGGGGCCCGAGACGCTCTCAGTTGAGGTGCTCCAGCCACTGTCGCCTGAGGCACCCTCGCAAGTCTCACTTCGGAGGTGCCTTGCACCATGGTGGTTCGGCCACTTTCGCGCGCGACTTCTCGCAACTCTAAGTTCAAGGATGCCCTGGGCGGAGGTGTTCAGACTACTCCTCGCGTGAAACTCCCTCGCACGGCTGACTTCGGATATGCCTTCCCCTGAGCGGAGGTGTTCAGGCCATTTTCACCCGGGACGTCCTCGCAACACTGACCTCGGCGAAGCACTGCCCCGTGGTAGTCTGGCCACGTTTGCCTGGGACCCTCGCGCCCTTTAGTGGCGCGATGGTACGAGCAATTGGTCAGGCCACGACCGCCTGATATACGCGTGTGTGCGCACACATAGTTACACTGACCATGTGCATATTCATGTACATACATATACAAACGTATATATATATGCACATATGTACGATGCATACATAAACACATGTGTGTACGCATCTACGCACGCTCGCACTCCGCGAGCGTGCGAAATCCAAAGGACCAAGGTGCATGGCGCGCAGCGCCAAGGCAGTCTTGTATATGTATGTATATATATATATACACATATATATATATGTTTCAAACATATCTAAAACTTTGGGACCGTACTTATTTTTCGCCAAGGGTACATATCTATTCGTACACGTTTTCAAAGAATGGCAGCGCCGCGCCGTATATAGTCGTATCTATTTTTTGCCCGAACGAAAACAGTTGGCTGTGCTCCTGGCGCGAACCAGATGCATGATATTTGCCGAAACAATGAACAACGGGATGGGGATAGTGGGACGCCGTAGCGATGAGGAGTGAGGAGACGAGCGACGACGACAAAAACGACGAGGAGCAGGATGCATAACAACGACGAAACGAAACTTAGGAGAGAAATGGGCAAGAACAGGGAACTGTAGGATGGGGAGAGCAAAGAGGAGGAGGTGGAGGAGGAGGCGGAGGAGGAGGCGGATGCGGAGGAGGAGGAGCAGGAGGAGGAGGAGGGGGAAAAGGAGTCGAGGAGTCGAGGAGGAGGAGGAAGAGGAGGAGGAGGAGGAGAGGGATGGAGGATGAGATCGACTGCGAAGGAGAAGCGATGGCGTGTGGTTGGGGGACCAGCCAGGAGCGGGAGGCACAGAAACATGACGCAGGGAATGTGGGAGTTTAGTGATGATGGGGCGCTGAAGGGGCAGAAATGTACCATGTGTCATGGCCGTCGTCATCATCGTCCTCCTGCTACCACTGGGCGTGGTGGTGTCCCACGTAGCCAAATCGCCAGTCCGCTCTGCTGCCCTCCCCCTTCGCACCCCGCAGGGGTGGGGATGAGGTGGTGCGGGAAGACAAGAGGACGGGGAGGACGGAGAGGATATTCTCCTCTTGTTCTCGCGTCTCAGCGCATGGTGGCGGCAGGGCGGGGAAGCGTACTGGCTCACCGTGCAAGCCGGAGCAGCTGGCAAATGCAGTGGTCTGGTGGCATGTTTGTGAATGGTCGTCGGATTCTGCGCTCGCGGATTCAACCCGTGGACAACATGATGGATCAGCCAGTCCCCAGCAAATCCCCCAGTTGAGGGATTGATTTGTTGTAGAGTGTGTTCCTCCCGCTGAATTGGACTCGGGGTGCTCGGGCGCCAGTTGGCGCACTTCTCCCGCAACCAGCTTTGTATCAATGTTTGCTGTCTTCGGGTGGGGAGTTTTGCGCGGCAGCCTGGGAAGGACATGCTGGTGCCCGCCTTCGCGTGCACAGTGATGGTTTGTATTCTCTCAATCGTCCAACCTGGGGGCCTCCACACACAGCGGATAATGACCACTGAACTATGATTCGGCTCCGAAACGATGTATCTACTCTGGTCGTCGGGACATATATTTGTTTTGGCTCTTGGCTCAAGAGGACGCGCAACACTTGTGGATCTGGGTGCCCCTCTGTCCGTATAGCGCCCATCGGGTGTCAAAGCTCCGTTTAGGTACCATCCACAGAAATAGTCTTTCAGCCAACACGGCATTTGGACCGCGGCCCTGTTTCTGGCTACGTAGCTGACGTATAGCATTGTAACAAGTTGCTGGCAGTGCCTACGTTCAGATCTTGACCTGCACATTTTGCTGGGATCCTCTTACAGCGCACCACAAAATCAACATCACAAGTTTTAGACCCGCCGCTTCAATGCCGCCCCGTTTTCACCCATTCAATACGCCCCCTGCTATGTCGAAGCAGATCGAGCCACAGCCTGGGCGGGTGCGACTCGGAAGTTGCAGGTTTATCGACATTGGAGAGGGAGGTGCCAACGAGTAGCTTGCGCACGCGGCAAGGAATCTGCGTGACACACTTGTTAGGTGAATTTTGTCGAGGATCGCATGTCTGAGCAATTCTGCATTGGTATGGTCAGTACTTCCTCTCGCTCCTTGCCCCTACTTTCTTTGCTGTCCTGCTTCCCGTCTGTCACAACGTTCCGCCGCCCGCGCTGCAGGCCAAGCCACGTATTCATCGGCGACCGCCCGACGTATTGGGACCACACAGGGACACCAGATTGGGGAAGTGTTGCAAGCGTCGGGCAATACAACATGTACTGAGTATGGATTGGCCTTCGGCCCATCCCGCCACCACGTCGGGGCCCTCTTGGCCCGTTTTGGGGTGTTCGTGGCTCCGAACAAGTCGTGCGGGATGTGCCGCCGGGGAACCGCGGGAGGCAGTCCAGGAATCCCAGGACATTTGAGAATTTGGGATCCGGGCTCCTTGATACTCATTCCTGAGGCCTGAGGACTGAGGACTATCAGGGACCGGAGGGCACTCCAACTCGTGCCTCGTGGCACGGTGCGCCACGGTGCGGTAGGTCCCGAGGATATTCATTGAGTATTCATTGGCGCGCGTCTGCGTGCGTGAAAGTTGCACAATCTTCTGAGCTTGTCTCACGGGCGAGGCTGCCGCAGCGTGGCATCTCTGCGAGCGCTGCAGCATGCCGTGCCGCTCCGCGCGGGCCTTGGCCGCCGGGGCCTCGCCGCTCGCAGTTCACCGCCTGCTCCTGCTCCGTCTGCCCGCCCCCCTCCCTCCACTCGCCGACCGACCCCGGCGTGGAGCCCGGCCGGGCGCGGCAGAGGACGCATTTCATGTACTGGCAGGTCGACGAGGGGCGGTGGGCCATCAGCCCGCGCACCGACGACGGCGAGGACGGCGCTGTCGCGGCCCGGGTGCGCACGGCTCTCTGAAGCCCGTGCCCTCTTGTCGGTGTTCTCGGAGGTCGTCGAGGTTTCGTGGTGTTTGGGATGTATCTCGGGCCCCATGGTGCTGCCCGCAGGAGCTGTCGCGTAGCAGCGGAGGGGGGAAGGAGCGGACGAGGTTGTCGGACGTCTTCTTCGGCTCTCGGCGGCATTCCGGCCTCGGGCTGCTTTCCAGCAGCTGCGTCTCGTCGAGAGGTGTCCGGAAGCGGCCGGGTACGCCGCCAGTATATATATATATATATATATATATATATATATATACAAGACTGCATTGGCGCTTCGCGCCATGCGCCTTGTTCCGGACGCTTCCCTGGCAAAGCAATAAGTCATCGCTTTCTTCAGCAGGGAGGACCTCGAGGCCTGGACGGGCGACCCATTTTTCCGATATCCCGGGTGCCTGCTGACACCGCTTTCGGACGATGCGCTGGCACGCTTGTGCGCAGGAGTGGGGAAATCATGCTGTTTTTTTCGCGCGCGAGGGTCCTTTGAGGAAGTAAGGAGCGTTCCCATGACACGCCGAAGAAGTCACAGTAGCTCCGAACACATCGATTTTTGATTCCTTCCCGAATGCCTGGAGGGCTCCAGGCAGTCAGGAAATCTTCGATCGTCGAATTTCGAATCTAGATACATTGCCTGTCTCTCTCGATCGGGTAGCTACTGAAACCTCGAGCCTCAAACGTGGAACCAAGATCGTCGGGTCAGCTTGATGTATTTCGTAGGAGGAAGCCGTCTGGACGTTTTTGGTGCTCTTTTGTGCCGTCCTGGGGCACTCTTGGGCCGTCCTGGGGGCTTCTTGGGCCGCCTTGGGGAGCTGGGGCCCTCCAGAGGACTTCTGAAGCCATCTAGGGCCCTCTTGCGGGCCTCCAGTGGCGTTCTTGGAGGTATCCCATGGCTTTCGTGGGGTTCTCTGAGGAGCCTTCTGGGGGCATCTTGGGCTTCTTCTGGGCAGTCTCGGGGCTCTCTGGGGCAGTCTTGAGGCCCCCTTGGGCCGCCTTCAACCCCTCTAGGGGGCCTCCCGGGCCGTCTTGGGGCGAGATTGGGGGCCCATTGGGCTGTCTTGGACGCTGCGAAGACCCAAAAAGCGGATATGCACAACAAATGTATTTCCTGAGGGAATGTGACGATTTTGGCTTCTTCGGGGCTCTCTTAACGACCTCTTGAGGTGTCTTGGGGGTCTCTTGGGCCGTCTTCAGACCATCGAGGTTCCTCTTGGAGCGCTCTTGCGCTGTCTTGGGTCTCTCTTGCGCCTCTCCGACGACCCCTCTAATCGCCTTCAGTCGGCTCGCAAGGCCCAGCGAGGCGCCCTGGGAGGCCCGGAAGGGCCACCGAACCTTTTCCAAGGGCGTCCAGGGGGCCGCCGAAACGTCCGAAAGGGCGTCCGGAGCGTCCCTGGGGGAAGGATCCGGTTTAGGGGGGGGGGTCCGGGGGGGGGGTTCGGGTAATGAACATATAAGAATAGGAATATATGCTCCGGCAGCCAGCATATCAAGGGCGCCGGAGGTCCCAGTTCCATCACTCGAGCTATATTGCTTTCAAGCCAGTGTCCCTATCAGTACGCAGTGTAAAATTTCGGTTCGGTCCGATCCGATTCGATCTCGATTTCGGCCGGCCCGATCTGATTTGATTCCGATGTCCCGGCGATCTGGTGCGGCCCGTTATTTGCATGGGCGCTGGTGTGCATCCTGCGGGTGCAGCCCGATGCGACGCAAATTCCGATTCCATCCACGTAATGCGCGTCCACGTTACATCTCGCCGGGACTTGTGCCCGAAGTGGCAGCGGCACGCGAACGCAGTTGGCGCGCGGGTGGCACGATATTGCCTCCAGGGCCGCACGGCCAACCATGACAGACGCCACTGGCAGTGCCGCCCGAGCGCCGATAAGCAGTGCCGCCCCTGCGCTGAGGGCGTGACGCACAGGCCAGCGGCAGGAGATGCCACGCTCGCCGAGCATAAGGGCTCGGCCGCATTCGGCCCCAGAGGGCTGCCCTGCCTCATCGGGCAGTCGGCTGGCCGCGGCAACCCTCGACGAGCCCCTCGTGGCCGCAGGGACTGCCGCGTCGGCGCCGAGCGGGCCGTCAGCTGGCCCGGCCAGTCGGGGGCAACTCTGGCCGGCGGACGGCTGGCGGCCATTCGAGCCTCCCCACGCGTGGCCGCTTGCACGGCTTCGGCTGGGGCGGGTTCGCCGCGGCCGGCCTGGGCTGATCCCGCCTGGCCGACTGCCTGGCATGGGCCCGCCAAGGAGCAAACGGGTTCTGAGGTTGTTTTAGTTCCCAGCCGTCCTGTGGTGTCGGGTCTTCGTTTTGAAGAGACGGCGCCGCGCGTCCTCTCCTCCTCTCCTCCTCTCCTCCTCTCCTCTCCTCATCTCCTTCCTCTCTCCTCCCATTCCTGCCTCTGCTCTCCTCGTGCCGACATCACCCTTAGCATCGTCGTCATCATCATCATCATCATCATCATCATCATCATCATCATCATCATCATCATCGTCATCGTCATCATCATCATCATCAGCATCATCATCATCATCATAATCATCACCTTCATCATCATCACCATCATCCTCATCATCATCATCATCATGATCATCATCATCATCATCATCATCATCATCATCATCATCATCATCATCGTCATCATTATCATCATCATCATTATCAGTATCACTATCATCATTATTATCATCATCGTCATCACCACCGCCATCGGCATCATCCACATCATCACCCTCATCATCCTTCTCCTCCTCCTCCTCATCATCATCATCAACATCATCATCATTGTCAACATCATCAGCATCATCAGCATCATCATCATCACCATCACCATCATCATCATCATCATCATCATCATCATCATCACCATCACCATCACCATCACCATCACCATCACCATCACCAAGGCCAGCATCGTGGACCATCCTTCACCTCACACTTCTCTCTCCTCCCATCCCTGCCTCTGCCGTCCGCATTTCTTTGCCCTGGCACACTCCTCACACACTTCGTGGCCCCATAGGGAGCTCCACCGAAGGCCCCATAATCATCGCCATCGTCAACATCGTGCCTCTGCTTACCGCATGCGCACCCTTTCGGCTCACCCGTCACACACTTCGCGGCCCCGGAGAGAGCTCCACCGAAGGCCCCAGTGGCAGGGTTCGCATGCGCCCGACGCCCGTTTTGGTACACCCCTCACACGGTTCAGGGCCCCATAGGGAGCTCCGACCACCGAAGGCCCCAGAGGCAGGGCCCGCGTGCGCTCGACGCCCCTTCGGCCACACCCCTCACAAGGCTTGTGGCCCCGCAGGGAGCTCCACCGAAGGCTCTATAGAGGCAGGGCCCGCAGGCACCCGACGCTCGTTTCAGCACGTCGCTCACGCGCTTCGTGGCCCCATGGGGAGCCCCACCGAAGGCCCCAGTGGCCGGGCCCGCAAGCGCCCGACGCTCATTTCAGCAGATCCGACACGTGGCGCGCGTCGCAGGGACTCCGCGCTGCGCTCGGCCCAGAGTCGCGGCCACCCGGGCGGCAGGACAAGGGGAGGAGACAGACGTGAGTTGGGGAGAAAATGGAGACAAAACGGCCGCACACGGCGCTGTGGCCACCTCGGGCCAGGCGGGCACGAAAATGCAGCGCGCAACGGAAACAGGGAGAGAGCAGAATGAGTTGGGAAGAACATGGAGACAAAACGGCCGCGCACGGGGCTTGGGCCACCGCAGGCCAGGCGGGTAGGAGTGCAAGGCGCGGCAAAAACGGGGAGAGAGGAGAGCGAGCTGGGAAGAACATGGAGATGACGCGGGTGCGCGCGGGGCTCATGCCACACCGATAAAGCTCCTCGCTCGCCCGCGTCAGCTTGCCTCCCCCTCGTCCACGCCGCAGTCCTTTTGCTGGCCTCCCATCCTTCGTCCCGCCTGCCTCGCGATACTCGCATCTGCGCATGGTTGGGCTCCTCACCAGGTTTCCGCTTTCCCCACTGGGCCGTCCACGGGCCCCGGGATTGCCTGAAAACGACGATAGGGCGAGGGACTGGTCCCGGGGGAAGGCCCTGAAGTGGACCCATTTTCCCTCAGGAGCCGCTTGTCAGGCTGTCGCAAACATGGATCAAGGGGGCGTGGATTCGCGACGGGTCCCGTTTCCATGGGAAATCGCGGGCTTCCGCCGCCGAGCGAGGCGGCACCGGCCGCATCTTGGGGAGGGCCCCCCCCCCCCGAGCGCCAAGTCCACGGATCGCTGATCCACGTTTGCGCGCCTCCGAGTTTGTTCCGTACCACAGCGGCATGCACTCGATTGGCCGCGGCGGCACTGTCGCGCCGCCTCCGACGCGGTGGCGACCCCCGCGCGGGTATTCGGGGCTGCGCGCCGCCAGCGGCCCAGAGCTTCGGCCGACATCGAACGACCTGCGGTATCGGACCGCCGCCATCGTTCCTGGTTGCACGATCCACACGGTGTCAGATCCAACTCGTAAGTCGTCACGACACTCAGAGGAGGAAAAGGTACCCATACCTCTACCCTTCGCCCGTTTTCCCCTGTTTGCTGGGAGTCCCTCGTCGCCACCGCCGGATTCGCCTCGAAATTCTGGTCAGAACGCACCCCGGGAGAGGTCCGGGGAGTAGCGGTATCGGTACCTTTTTTGTCTCCCCAGTAAGTCGTCACGACACGAACTTGCCGTAGCCGATTGCCCAGCTCCGGCGAACATTCGGTGGACCGCAGTTGTTCCCGATGTTGGCCCCTCGCGGTCGTCGTGCCTGGTTCTGAAGGGAACCTAGTCGGTCGCGACTGACCCAAACCAGTAGTTCCGCTTGGTCGTTTGCCGTGCCTCACCCAGAATTCAGTTCACCGCGGCTGCGCCCAAACAGTCCCGCGTGGTCGGTCTCCCTGCTCACTCGGGAACCTGGTAGGCCTAGACCCGCCCCGACAGGTCTCCCGTTGCCGCTTGCCCTGCTTTGTGATGAACGGGGCTGGCCGAAAGCAGTCAAGAGTTTCGCCTCGCTTTGCCGAGTGCTATGTTCTTCCCTGGGAGCCAGATAACCCGCGACAGAGCACGGCTTGCTTCGCTCCGCGTACACTTTTGGATGAGCGAGGCAGTGTGATTCGGGCTCCGTGGCAGATCAGCCGATCCTCGTATCACTTGCCGAAATGCGCAAGCGCAGGCGGATGGGGTATTGGGGGGTGGGGGGCGGGACGCTGCGAGGACCTTTTCCAAGACGCTCTTCGAGGCAAGTCTCCTGAGCCACAGCTACGTGTCGTTCGCTCTCTCTCTCTATCTCTCTTTCTCTCTGTGCGTATGTATATACGTATTGGCTTAACTCCATATATAACAGCATGCTCGTATCTATGTGTGTATGTACATATCTAGATGTATAGTTGCATGCACGGTTGTGTGGTTGCTTTCTGCATTTATATGTGTGATCGTCTCGCTCACTTGCCAGCTACAAGGTAACGGGGGACCTGGACCGCAGCATGGGGGTGGCGGGGCCGCTGGGCCGGGACCCGACGACAAGATGATCCACCCCCCCGCGGCAGCCCAGGATCGCCACCAGAGGGCTCAAGATATCTGGAAGGCGGCCAGAGTGGACTCTTCCTGCAAAGGCTGCCCTGGGGGCCCCCGAGACGCCCCAGGAGCCGTCCCACGAGGGCCCTGTGAGTCCGACATACATTCTGTTCCCAACGCTTGATAGCATTACTGCCTTTTCGGCTCGAAGGGCCTACAAGACGGCCCAGGAGATTTCCAAGGTCGGCCCCAGACGCGCGCCCGCGAGTTCAGCATCTCTGTCCCGAACTCCCTGGGGAACTTCTTCTCCGGGCCCAGCGCGAACTAGGAACGCGTTTGACCCGTTGGGCCCCCGAGTTCCTACAGATTCTTCCTCCTTCCCTTGCTCCCTCTGGAGCCGGCGAAAGCGCAACGAGAGCGGCGGTAACTGCGGAAGTTGCCGCCAGGTCGGCGAAAGCCGCTGGAAGCAAATGTTGGCGTCGCGGATGCCTTGACTGTCGCACGATGTTCGCAGGGACCACCCAGACCTCCAATACCATTACGCCTGGGAAAACTCAATCAGTGGATGATTTGAAAATTGAAACTATGGATCTTGAGATCAATTGTGAGATCGATAATGGGATCGATAGTGGAATCGATAGTGAGGACGATTGTAAAGTCGATCGTGAGACCGAGAGTGAAATCGATTCAAAGAGATCTATAGTGAGATCGAACGCGAGATCGCTGACGCGATCTCTAGTGAGATTGCTTGTGAGATTAATAGTGACATCGATTGTGAGATCGATGGTGAGATCGATCGAGAAGTCGGTAATGAGATCGATGGTGAGACCGATCGATAAGAAGATCGACCAGGAACCCGGGAACCCAGGAACCTCGCCGCCCTCCGATATCGGCCCGGAACCCGGAACCGGGAACCCGGGAACCCAGCTTGCCACCAAAATCGGCGGGGAATTTTCGCCAAATCCTTCAATTTCCGCTAGGACCCCTTCAGTGCAAGCACTGATTGGGGAATGTCTTCTTCATGTCTTCTCCAACTCGACAGCTCGACGAGATCCCACGAGAAGCTCAATGTGCTTCCAAACTGGCCCCAAGAGATTCAATACGTCTTTGACAACTGTAGGGGGGGATCGGCTCAGGTGCGGGATGCATCGCCCCCCAATCGCCTATTGATCTCCCACACGGGCCTGACCAGGAACGTGCGGATTGGCTATCGGGGGCATATCGCCGATCTATCGGCGATGTATCGCCGATTCCATGTCGACGCCGCAATTGTTGCCCCTCAATGCGCCTCCGAGGCACCGAGGATAACCCCTGGATGGTCCAGTATGCCCCCAAGAGCGTCGAACAGGCTCGCAGGCGTCCCACCTTGGGCTCCATGAGCACGCTCCAGAGGTCTTCGACAGGCGAAACCTAATCAAAACCATCCAGCAGTTTTAGCTTTGCCACCCTTTTGAGACTGACGGCCCACGCCGCCACAAAGATCGCCACGACGACGACGAAGACGACGACGACGACGCCGACGACGCCGACGCCGACGCCGACGCCGACGCCGACGCAGACGCCGAGGCCGAGGACGCCGAGGACGCCGAGGACGCCGACGCCGACGCCGACGGGAGACGACGACGACGCCGACTCCGACGACGCCCACGACGCCGACGACGCCGACGACGCCGACGACGCCGACGCCAACGCCGACGGGAGACGACGCCGACGACGACGACGCCGACGCCGATGCCGACGCTGATGGAAGACGACGCCGACGCCGACGGAAGACGACGACGACGACGGCGACGAACCACCCTCCACCACGCCACGCTCACAGGCCCACGACCACAGGGGTGGAGCGATCCCATTCGCGAGGCCTTCGCGAAGCTCACGGGCGTACCAATCCAGGGGGATAGGGGGGGCTGATCCCATCAGCATTAGGGGGTCCAATTGCCCAGAGGTCCAAGTGCCCAAGAGGTCCGTCATAACTAAACCACAGCCCGGTGAGTTTCCATTGCTCGTCCAATGCTTTCCTTCAACATTTGGTCACGTAGGCCCCTCTCAATGGCAGTGGGCGGCGGTGGCTTGCAGGTGGCGTCTTCGATACCCCTCCTGCTCTTCATTGTCACTCTCCTCACCTCTTCTGTCTCATTCCTCCTGCTCCTGGTGTTTTTTTATCACTTCTGGTCTTGCATAATTGTCTCACCCTCTCGTACGCCCTCCGCCTCCATCTTCCGCCTCGCCTCATCCTACAAACTCACAAGAGAGCGCTAAGGGGCCCTCGCATCTTCACCATCATTCCACGCCCCGAAGCATTCATTAATTTCGTTTCTGCCAAGTCCTGGAACCCTCAATATTCACGGTTGCAGCATCTCTACGTGGTCCCTGTGGGAGGAAATGGAGCGTGTGCACATGCCCCAGTTTTGAAGAACGCCGTCGGCACCATGCGGTTCCGGATTCTTATGACACGGTCTCTCTTCCGCGTTATGCCATGGCGCCCAAGCTAGCTGGAGCTTGTGCGCGCGCGAAGGGCACGCGATCGCTGTAGTGGTATGTAGCAGGTTTCCACCCCGCGGAGGGGGTGGGGCGCCGTGGCCCTGCTCAGCTCCATGAAGAACGTTGTGACCAAGAATGCCACGACTGAGAGAGCGAGAGTGCTGCGAGCGTGTTGCGAACGGCAATGCTGCGAAGGAGAGTGCCGTGAACCAGACGGTTGCGGTCGAGGGTGCTGCGAGTCAGAGTGCTTCGAGCGGGAGTTCCGTGACTGCGGATGTCTGCCCTGCGACGGAGAGCGTTACGACCCAGGGAACTGCGAGCGAGAGTGATGCGACTGAGAGCGTTGCAACCGAGAGCGTTGCGTTCGATAGTGCTGTGAGCGAGGGTTTACCGATCGAGACTGTTGCCAACGAGAGAGACCAACCAGAGCGCTGCAACCGAGAGCGGTGACAACGAGAGCGCTGCGAACGAGAGTGCTGCGAACGAGGGTACGGTGAACGTAGATGTTCGTAAAACGCTGGAGAGCTTTTTGTTTTCAAGATCGGCGTTTTTTGTTTCGGGGGCAGTTTTTTGTTCTACATGTTGGGATTGCCATCTCGCCGTCTTCGGTTCGTTGCGCGATCCGTTGTCCAATTGTTGTTTTATTGCCGCTGTACCATGTGTTCCGTTTCTGTCAGTTGTTGTCTGTTATTGGTGGACGATGTTTTTTGTTTTGGGTTGCCGTTGTTCGCTCGTTTTGGGCCCGGCCAGTGTCGCGTTTGTTATGTTTTTGGTTGCCGTTTTGGCCCCCAGCGCTTTGAGAACAACTAAGACCGTGAACGGGAGCCTTGCGAACGAGAGCGCTGCGAACGAGAATGCTGCGACCGAGTGCGTTGCGAACAAGAGTGCTGCGAACGAGAGTGCTGCAAACTAGAGTGCAGCGTCCGAGACTGCTGCGAACAAGAGTGCTGTGCACGAGAGTGCTATGCACGAGAGCTCCGTAAACGAAATATATCGTGAGCGAGAGCGCTTCGAACGAGAGGGCCTTGACTCGAGAGTGCAGCGGACGCGAGTCTTGCGACGGACAGCGTCTTGATCGCTTGCGTTGCGAAGGAGACAGTGGAAAGCAAGAGTCCTGCGAACGGCAGTGATGCGAAGGAGAGTGCTGCGAACCAGAGTGCTGCGAAGGAGGGTGTTGAGAGCGAGCGTGCCGCAAGCGAGGCCACGGAAAAATCGAGAGCGCTGCCGACGAGGGTGTGCTGCGAGTGATGGCACTGCGCACGGAGCGGCCAGAGCGTGCGCTGTGATCCAGAGCACTGCGAACGAAAGCGCTGCGAGCGTGGGTGCTGCACACGTGAGCGCTGCGTAGGATCGTGCTGCGAGCGAGAGTGCTGCGAACGAGAGTGCTAGGAACGAGAGTGCTGCGACCGATAGTTTCACGAGCGAACGTGCTGCGAACGGGAGTGATGCAAGTGAAAGCGCTGCGAAGGTGCTGCGAGCGAGAGTGCTGCGAACGAGACTACCGTCGGTCGCTGCGTTGATCCCGCGGAGCGGGAGCCACGGCTGTCCCAGGGTGAAATTGCTCGTATTCGGTGGGTGTTCGCGGGAAAGGCATCGACGCGCACGTGGCCGAGTAATCGGGCCCGTTGTGGGGCTTGCATCATCGTTATGCTGCTTTCTCGGTGCCCTCTAGGGTTCTCTCAGGCTCGCTCGTGCTCCACTTGTTTTCGCCTTGGGCAATTGGGCAGGCACTCCCGAGAAGCCTGACGGCATTGGGCAGGCATCCTGGGTGCACTTGGCGGCTTGTAGGGTTCAAGTGTGTCTTTCTCGCACCTTACCTTGGTGTCCTGCTTTCTTGGGCCCGCAAGGGAGCCTGTGTAGTCGCCCGGGAAGCGCCCCAGCGTCAGGCGCCAGCAAGATCACAGCGGCCCGAGGACAGGCCGCACACATGACTGAAACCAACCCCGTGTCGAGCGGCGGCGACCGGCGGCTCCCCAACAACGACCAGGCCGCCCATGTTTCCCTCGGCGGCGTCGCACTGTTCTGGGTTGTGCCTCCTGGCTGCAGCGGTATAGTGCCACCGCCACCGGCGACCGACAACATCGCCCCCTTGGGGAGTCCGCACTGTGTAGCCGTTTGGGCTCAAGCCGCCGCGCCGGCCCAAGGCCTGGGACCGCGCGCCGGGCCAGGTGCCTCTCCCCGAGCGCTCTCGGCGGCGATGGCGAAGTGGCGACCGGTGTGGCCCGCGGGGAACACCCCCAAGCTGCTGTGCAGGCTCTGCTCGCCAGCGGTTTGCCCAGAGTGCGAGATGGGCTCGCCGTGCCGGGACCACGTGCACCTTGGGAGGCCGGTCCGCCTCTGCGGCGACGGCGTGCAGGCGCCTCCAGGCATGAAGGTCCTCCTCCCGGAGAACATGGCGAGCGCTGGCTTCGCCCGGCTTGAGGCGACTAACTACCCCCCGGGCGCGCTGGGGGCCGGCGGCGTGGGGCCGGTCAGCATTGGACACCTCGTTGCGTTCTCCAGAGACCTCGAGGCCCAGACGCAGCAAGAGGACGCCGTGGGCGTGCTCTGCTCGAAGGGAGCCTGCGCCAACGTCCTGCTGCTGCTGGGCGCCCACTTGGTGCTCGCGCGGGGGTTTTCCGCAGACGAGGCCTGCGCACGGCTGCCGAAGACCCCCCTCAAGCAGCAGCGGTTTCCGGCGCCGTGGGCGCGGGAGGCGCAGTGGCACGCGCACTCGCTCACGGTCAAGGATTGCCTCGTCGGGCTGCAGGTGGCCGTGGCGAAGGGCTGGCTTGATTACGACGGCTTCGACCACGAGGAGTGGCTCAGGCTTCTGAGAACATACGACGCAAGTTTTGCTTTCCATGTTCCTCTCAAGGCCCGCACAGGCGAGACCAGGCGGCTCACCTTCTATGCCATGGCCGACCCCGTCACGACGGTGGCGGACCCAGAAGTGAGGCCTGCGCCCCCGGAGGACGGCTTCGTGTCGGACTACGTCAACCTGCCCAGGGGAACCCGGAAGGGCACAAAGAAGAGGTCGCCCGGCGATTTTGCCAGCGCCCCGGCTGGGACGAGGGAACGACTGCCAGAGTCAGAGGAAGCAACAATTCGGTCGGAGCGGCAGGGCCCTGTCGAGAGGGAGCTGAACCCGGCCACACCGCCGGGGCCGACCAAGTGCGACAGGATGACGACTGAGCCGGATGCCGTGGCCATCCCGATGCGGGAGTACCACTTTGACAGAGTGGCCAGCTCGCGGGATCCGAACCCCGCCGAGGACACACCGAAGCGGTGGAGTGTTAATGAAATCTACCCGAGTCCTCGCGACTGCGAGTACGACGGCCACGACGAGGATGGGACCGCAATCAGGTTCCACGCGACCTCCCCGACGCCCACGACGCCTTCCAGCGTCGACAGGGTCACGTGGTTGGAGATGGTGCGCGTCAGGCGCTGGGGCCATGAGCAGCACAGCAGGCAGAGCTCGGTGCCCGTGAAGTTGGTGAAGGAGCGCGGCCTGTCGACGCTCCCGGAGTTCGGCACATGGCTGCGTTCGGTGGGCTGCAGGAGGTTGGTGCGGCTGAACCGCCCAAACGAGCACGGCTTGCCTTCGACTGGCTCGTACAGGGACTACTTCTCCCGGTGTTGGCAGGTGCAGCAGGAGACCATGCACTTCGACGACGGCTCCGTGCCGCCCGTCCATGTCGTGCGCCGATGCCGCTCCGCGGTGGAGGAGGTTCAGGAGGGGAAAAAACACACCGACAGAATGAATCGTCGCTTCCCCAGGAAAATATGGGAAGGTCTGGGAGGTGGGGGGGAAGGCAGAAACCCAGAAAATAGGGGGTCATACGGGGAATCGTTTTATTTGCGTGCGTTTATTCGTGTGTCCCGGGGCCCCTTCAGAGGTGCTCGCGAGCGCGGGCCACGACGGCCCCGACCAGGCGGGCGGCCGCAGCGCGGTCGTGGTCCACTGCGCGGCGGGCCTCGGCCGCACGGGGACGCTGCTGGGCGTGCTGGCCATGGACATGGCGGACATCCCCGGTGGTGCGTGGATGGGCTGGGTCAGGATGTGCCGCCCAGGCTCCACTGCCGCCATCCTCGTCACCATTGTCGTCATTCTCGTCAGCATTGTCGTCATGGTTGTCAGCCTTGTCGTCATTGTCGCCATCATTATCGCCATCCTCGTCGTCATCGTTGTCGTCATTCATGTGCCGCCCAGGCTCCATTCAGACGCTGGCCCAGGAGGCGTTCCTGAAAACCTACAGGCCGCAGAAGGCGGCCGTGGGGAGGACCCCGTGCAGAGCTGGCCTGTTGCGCCGCCTGCTCCGCATCGTCCGCTGTTCGCGCGCCGCGGGGGACGCCTGATCTTTCCCGGCAGTCGGCACTTTTCGCGGCGAGCAGCTGAGGTGCCCAGTCAATTGGCGTCACTCCGTGGCGTTTCCTCTCGCGCTCGCTCCACAGACACCACATGCTGGCTGCGCGCTGGAGTGGCCATCTCGCCAGGGTGGCCTCTGGTGCGCGGCTTTCGGGTGCCATACTGTCATACTCGCATCGAATATGTCGATTGGCAAGCCGCGCAGCATAGGTCACTTTGGCCTGAGGCCGAAATAAAGGACGAGAGAGGATGATGATGTCTCGGTGATTTGGGAAAAGACCGAGACGATGGATGAAGAACTGAAAGAAGGAGGGAGGAGTTAGGAGAAGACTAGAGGAGTTCCGCTTGCTTCTTCTTTGTTGGCCGCTCCGCTTTGGTCGTCAGCAGAGTTCATGCTGGTCCCATGCTCTTGGGGTGGAGCCCTGAGATGTGTCGTGCTTTTGGGAGGCGGGGATGGTTCCAAAAAGACCCGTATGGTTCGAGTACTACCCCGCTGCGGTTTGACAAACAGGCCACGCATGGCGCGTTCTGGCGCTACGACGCCGCAGGAAGCAGCCTGCCAGTTGTGCTTTTCTGCCGAGGCTCCCTCCTCCTTGGATCGAAGAACGAATAGCTGCATAAACATAGACTTGTGGTGCTCCCTGCGGATCTGTTGGGTCAGTGCGGGACCCAGCTCCCTATGGCTGCGCCGAACGCGCCGTCCCCACGAGGGCTTGCTTGATATCCGTAGTGGCCGTTCCAACAAAAAAACTCCTCCGCTCGATCTTTGGAAACCGCTTCTGCTGTAGTGAAGCTAACCAGGAGTCGGTATTATGCACTATTTGTCCTGCAGCTGCCACGCGGATTCTCACGAGCTCCTCTTCCCTCCTCCTCCCTCCTCCCTCCTCCCTCATCCGTCCCTCCACCAACCCCCGTGGTATCTGGCTCCGGCGCCCATCCCTGGACCGAGCCATGTGTCGACAGGTTTGTTTGCGCAAGTCTGGTCAATGCTGCCAGGACCAGGTTTGACCAGCGCGCCTGGACCGAGAAGAGTGGGGCCAGATGGGGGTGGGGGCAGGAGGAGGACCATCGGTGCCTAATGGCAGCCATTTCGAGTCGTCGGGATCTGTGGCTTGCTTACATGGTGGGCATGGCTGTGGCACGCTTGCGTTGTCTTTCAACTCTCTGTAGTCGAGGGGCACCTCAGTATGCTCTTCTCTTTCTGCCATCCTCTGCTTCCAAAGGGCCTGTGCCCTCCGACATCTTCTGATCGCAATTCGATGTTAGTGTGCACATGCTATCGTACATGGCTGGGGCAGACCCGCGTGCTGCTCGAACATGTTTTACGTTGTCAGACCCTGTGCTTTTTAGTGTTGGTCATGCATCGAAGCAGTCACTTTCTTGCGCTCCGCTTAGCTCTGGCCTGGCGGCCCTTCTGGCCTTCTGCTGTGGCCTCCCGCGCGCAACGTAGACTCGCCAGACCCGGGTCTCGGCTCGCGCGAGGTGCAAGAACAAATAAAATGAAGTCGTCGCCCTCTTGGGAGTCCCCGGCCATGAGACCGGTAAAGCTTCCTCTCCTGGGTCAGCTGTTGGAAGCATGGGGTCCCCTTCCCATCAGTTGGGAAGCTGGCGTCTTTTACATCGAGGTGCCGTCATGGGTAGTACTAGTTGAAACCTGTATCGAGCGTTGATGCCATCAAATGCGAATGGACGGGCCGATCTGATGATGGGGCGAATCATTTATTATCGGAGGTGGGGGGGTGAGATCGCAGTGAAACGGAGACCCCCCGCCGGGAAATCGGTTTCGGTTTCGTGTTCGTGTCGTGCGTGCGGGCGAGGCGAAGCTGCGCGCGATCCTCCTGTAGCTAGGCCGAAGTAGGAGCGAAAGTCCGTTTCCCGTCTGCCGGTGGCCGGGAGGTGTCCCAGTTGGGCCGGGCGGTGTCCTGGGTGTCCCGGGTGTCCTGGGCGTCCCGGCGCTAACGCATGTCGCTAATTTCATAATTCATTTTTGTCGGCGCCTGCGGCTGGCTTTGTTATCCAAGCCAGCTTATCTTATCCAATCCATATTGTCCAATCCAATCCATCTTATCTTATCCAACCCATCTTGTCCCATCTTATCTAATCCCACCCAATCCAATCCACCCAACCCAATCCATTTGTTTCTGCGCCTGCGGCGGGCCAATCCGATCCATCTTATCTTATCCAATCCATCTTGTCCAATCCAACCCATCTTATCTTATCCAATCCATCTTATCCCATCCAATCCAATCCACCCAACCCAATCCATCAATTCATTTTTGTCGGCGCCTGCGGCTGGCTTTCTTATCCAATCCAGATTATCTTATCCAATCCATCTTGTCCAATCCGATACATCTTATCTTATCCAACCCATCTTGTCCCACATTATCTTATCCCACCCAATCCAATCCACCCAACCCAATCCATCAATTCATTGTTGTCGGCGCCTGGGCGTGGTCGCGGCAGACTGCGAGGCTCGAGCGTTCGGCACCCTTGCCTTTCGCTCGACGGATAGGTCGGTCGACGGATAGGTAGATAGTGGGATATCATCGTCATCGCGATCACCATTGTGGTGGAGGGAGACTCTGATAGAGAGGGAGAGAGAGAGAGGGCGAGAGAGATATAGAGAGAGAGAGACAGAGCGAGAGAGAGAGAAAAAAAGACAGAGAGAAAGGGAGATATGAGATCAAGGTGACAGGCTGGAGGTCAGTCAGGGTGGGCATTTGATGTCAATCCACCCCCAACCTCCTTATCGCCCGCAGGGCGGTCGTATAGGTATATCTATGTGTACACATAGCTATAACTATAAGTATGTGCCGAAGACTCGAAGACGCCTGCGGCGAATCACTGCCGCCTGCTTTTTGGAAGTGCCTGTGTGGCCGAACGTTGTGGCCAGAGCTTGGACAAACTAACGGGCCATGGGTGGGTTCCCAAAGCCGTTGTGGGAATCGTTTCGGGAACACGTGGGGAGAAGAAGAGGAGGAGAGGGCGCTTCTGGCTTTCCTGGAGGACCTCTCGGGGACCTAGTGGGTCCCCGTCGAGTGTTCTTGTCTGCCTCTTGGGGGCATCTTGGGCCGTCTTGGAGGCATCATGGGCCCATATTTGGCCCTCTTGGGGTCATCGCAGGCGTCTTGGAGGCATCTCGGGACCATCTTAGAGGCGATCTTGGCCGTTTTGGAGGCCATCTTGGGGAGGTGTGAGGTCTTTCCAGGTGGCTAGCGGGCTGTGCCAGAGGCCAGTGGAAAGCTTCTGGTAGAGCCAAAACAACCCAACGTTCGGCACGTCGTGTGCATTTGTACAATGGCCATCGGCCCATCCCAGCACCAGGCCTGCCTGGGTCGTGGATGTATTTTGGAGGGTTGTTGCGAGCCTCTTGGGGCCTCTTCGGGGCATCTGGGGGCGTCTGGGGGCCTCTTGGGAGCCTCCTGGGGGCCTTTTGAGGCTTGCTGACGGTCTCGGCGGTCATGTGAGGGCGGAGGGCTCGAAATTTCAGTTTGTGCTCCTTTTGGGCCCCGGTTGAGGCCTTCCTGGGGCCCTCGTGGGGGCCTCTTGGACCGTTTTGGGGGCATCTCAGGGTAGCTTTTGGGGGCAATTCGGCCGTCTTGGAGCGGTATTGGGGGCTCCTTAATGTACAGGCGTCGGAAGAAATGAACGAACACTCATGCCACATTCATCTATCAATGCCCCCTCCAATGATCAATGTTGGCGGTGGGTTGAGTGACTTGCATTTCGACCGCAGTCTTCCCCGCGCGTGCCAACTTCGGTTTTAGGGAAGAGGGGGAGTGCCCACTAGTCGTTTGAAATTACCGTATCGGGCGTATCAGACAGCGAAGGGCCGCGACTGCAAACAAAATACTCCGACTGAAGGGCTCCGCATGATAATTTTCTGAGTTCACGCGGGTCATCATCATCGAAGGCGAACGATGGTGATCATGCCATGTTACCAGGATGCATGCGACCTGTGAGGCCGTTGAGTCCCGTGGGGCACGTGGGGCTTTTCAGACTTTCAGGGCTTGTGGGACCTGTGCGACCTGTGGGACCAGTGCGACCTGAGGGGCTTTGCGACCTATGAGACCTGTGGGACCTGGGGCACCTGTTGGCCCTGTGGGACTTGTGGGGCCAGTGGCCCCCCTGGAACGTGCGGGACCCGTGAAGCCTATGAATTTGCGAGTCCTGTTGGGGACATGAAGTGTGTGTGTGTGTGTGTGTGGACTGCAGGGCTCGTTGGACCTGTGGGACATGTGGGACTTGCGAACCCTGTAGGACGTGTGGGACCTGTAGGACCTGCGGGGCCCCCTGGGACTTGTGAGACCCGCGAGACTTGTGGGACCTGTGCAACCTGTGCGTCCTTTGGCTCCCGCTCCAGACCTCCTCGCGATTCACTCACAGACGTTGCTCCCGCTTGAGATTTCCCAACGATTTGCCCCCCTGGGGCGCTCAAGTATTATCCATGTTATCGTGGGCCAATGAGCGGCTCGAAATCGATCGGGAAAGGGCTCCCGCTGGAGACTTCTTCGCGATTCCTTCATCAACGAGGTTCCCGCTCGAGGCTTCCTCCAGATTCAGGCCTGAGGAGCCAAAACGTGACGACAGTTATAGGTTTGGATGACCCCGCCGCTCGGGTTCGAACATGGAGGTGGCGGGACCCCAGAAAGAGGAGCTCCCGATCGAGACGTCACCTCGATCCTCTCACAAACGAAGCTCCCCCTCGAGACGTTCTCCTGATTCATGCCTGAGGAACCCCAAAGCGATGACAACTGCAGGATTTTGATGACCCCACTCGGATTCGAACATGGATTTGGCGTCCCCATAGAGACAGGGGTCACAGGGCTCCCGCTCGAGGCTTTCACTCACGAGCGAGGCCTCCCGCTCGAGACCTTCTACAGATTCAGGCCCGAAGCGCCCCAAAAGTGTCGACCTTCCACAGGGATTGGATGACCCCGCTCAGACTCGAGCGTGGGGATGGGGACCTGGGACCCCAGAAGGAGGGGCT